CTTTTTCTATCCAAGATCAAGACAATTAACGGTTGATCCAGCTCATCGGTACTTATTTCACTTGGAAATTTAATAAGTTTCATGAAAAAGAAAAATTTCTTTCTTCTAATCATTTGAAACCAATCGAGAATGATTAAATAGTTTATCATTAATTTTTCTCATTTTATAAATATATATATATATAATGTTCGAATTATAGCAAATAAAAAAATCAAAAAACAGATAATATGCATACACATGAGAATTGACTATAATCATTCAGAATAAAACAAAACAAAGAACATATTTTTCTATATGTCAGAAGATCAAATATACTTATTATCTGATACATAAGGGAGATTTGTTTTTGTAAATAAAGATAATAGATGCAACAAAATAAAAGATCACTATTTGTCAGTTGTTATTTTTCTTTTTGCTTTATATATAGATATTGTCTATGGAATAAAAATAAAAATAAAACTACAAATAAATGAAATAAGGAAAGAGAGAAAAGAAAAACAAATTATTTTAATGATGTTTTTATTTCTTTCATGAGATTAGAACTAAATAAATAAAAATTATTTAGTTTGATTATTAATGAAAATCTCAAAATATACATACTATTGATTTAAATAAGAGAGCTATTGGTTGTTCAAGAATTGTTTCAGCATATAAAGATGCAGCTGAATTAATTTTTTCGACAACTAAATTAAAAACTTAAATATAAAAAAAACGATTTATTTAAATTCTTTTTCTAACCAGTTAATCGATAAGATTGACAAATTGTATTAATCATCAATAGAAAGTCTTGATTAGATGATGAAATACGAAGTTGTGATTGACATATCAATACACCCGAACTCATCAAATCAGCAAATGCAATACTTCAAAAAAAAATATATGTATTAAATAATTTACTAAAAAAAATTATTCTTACGAATCAATAGTCTTTCGTCGTAAATATTGTGAACAAGGCAAATTAAGTTTAAATTCAATTCTATCTGTTTCAATTGTATTTGATTTCTAAATATATTTATCAAAAATAATGATAAAAAAATCTGTTTTTTTTTATTTTCTATTTTTTTTCAACATACATTTATAGAATAAGTTAATGTTGTTTTTAATTTTTGAGAAAATGATATAGCATTTATTGAAAAGAATAAATATGAATATAATTTTGTGAATGAAAAAAAAGATTTATAGATGGAAATGATATTAAATTTGCACTTGTTGTATTTAATAATTTCGAACTCATACTATCAATACAATGAATATTAATATGATCAATAATAAATGATGTTCGATTTTTTAAAAGAAATGTTACATCAACTCGAGCTATTGATGGATCTGGATTAATTGAATATTCCTAAAAATAAATAATATATCAAACTTTATAACAAATTGAAATCGGACGGAACTATAGAATTATGCTGAAAACTTAATACAATAGACATCATTCAAGAAGGTAGCATAGATTTTCTCAAATCTCAATAGAATCTATCTAATGAGATAAGACTCATATCAAAAGTATTTTATCGCTTAGCGAAGGTTCCTCATCTATTGGTTAAACTAGAATAACTATTGAGCTTACAATTGTCAGATTGAGCAACTAGTTTATAAGTATCTTGTTCTTTGTATTGTTGCTCAGATTGATTTGTTAGATGAACACCATCTGTCATAATGTCCAATAGAAGTGGTTTGTTTCTGACGATGATTTTTTTTCTTTGGTTTCTTTGCAATAGCAGGAAGAGGAGGTGTTGAAGTTGGACAATTTTCTTCCTCATCAGCTGGTGATAATAATCTTTTATAATCACTACGTTCTCGTTTGTGTTTAGATTTCGATGTTGATGATTGTTCTTGTTTTTCAATTATTTTCTTTTTCTTAGATTTTTTTGGCTTTCCAGTTAATATGGGAGGTGTTTCAACTTGTTTAGGAACTGTTCTTTTAATTGAGATGTCAATAGTGGTGGTGATGTAGGAATCGATTGAATAGGTTTTTCACTTAAGTCAATATTAAGTGCTCGATGTGGATCATATTTTTTATTTTTTCCAACAATAACATCATGATCATTGTCTTCATTTCCACTTTCTGTAGCACCTTCTGGTAATTCACCACCACGTGTTACTTCAGCAATTCGATAAATATCATCATCATCATCATCATCGATTACTGTTATATTAGATTTTTTCGATGATTTCTTTCCTTTTTTTGATGATTCATCATCAGGTTTTGATTTTTTTCTTTAAACATCGATTTTCTTCATAAATTTTTGCTTGACGATATTATTGATCAGATAGTATTAATTGTGACCTAGTAACATTTGTTCCTTGTGATAAAGTTGATTCAATACGATCATTACCATTTATAGTATCCAAAGTTGTTTCAGTCTACAATATTAAAGACAAATTCAAGAATTGAACTAGACTATTTGTATTCTATAGAATCAAATGAGTTAAGAATATCCTGAAGACAGTTCAAGTCCGTAGCTTATTGCTGTCGAGATACTAGAGTTTTACGGTAGTTCTTAAATAAATGTCGTAGTTAGAGCCCGTCCGATTGGTCCCGGGTTCGAAAACTTTGAATTTGATGGATTCTAGCCATGATGCCCTACAGAAATATCATAAAAACTAATTTTCGAATTTTGACTTGGAACTCTCCATAGAGACAGACCTTAACGAGACTAGTTTTTTGTGAATGTTTCAGACCTTACCATTGCTCCTATCTTAAGATAAAGGTGTAGTAAAAACTTGTCTTTTATATTTAATAACAAATTCGACGTTCTTATGTTAACATAGAAGCTAATCAAAAGATTTGAAACGTTCACAATAAATCACTAACGTTAAGCCCTGTTTTTACATCGAGTTTCAAGTCACAATTCGAAAATCAATTTTCCTGAAGAGGAACTAACGCATTCGTTTAAAAACCACCATAAATTTGTAATATGTCTGTAGCTTATTTATGTCAATATGATGTGCATAGTTTCGACTCAAAAGCGATTAATTAGTTGGGAGGAACTTTCCTCGAAAGATCTCTAAATAAAAAATTCATACTCATACCCTTTGTGTCAATTTTGGTTTTTTCGAATCTTTCAAATAGAATGGATTCATTTGTTCACTTGGTTTTCTTGATTCTCGTTGTTTTTCTAATTTTTCAGCAGTTGGTTCAATATATTTTTTTGATTTTTGATAACTTAATGTAACACCGGAATATAAACTAGAATTATAATTTTCTCCATTATCGCCGTAAAATAAATCTTTATTATCATAATGTGAACTTGTTGTTATTGATTCATCTTCACTATCCGATGGAGGATCATTTATCCAAGCATTCAAATCCAAATTAGAATATAATCAAATCCAAAAAAAAAATTTATCAAACAAATTTTATTTTACCCATTTGGTACAACAACTTTTCTTTGAACTTTAGCAGCAACTGGATTAAGAACACAATCAAATAATGCTGATAATTCATTAACATTAAATTCAGATTTTTCAATTAATTTTAATGTTGTTTTAAGAATATGTTAAATAACACTTGGCCTAAATAAATAATTTCTTTCTTTTTTATATTTGATATTTCGAGCTATTGGTAAAAGACATCCGAAGATTTATATTATGATTATTTTTATAGCATTTTTCATGAACTTTTCAAGTTCAATTAGTTTCGATCAATATTTTTAAAAGAGCAACTTCTCAAAATTCTATGACGTATATCAGTTGTTTGATACATAAAAAAACCTACAGTATATTTGAGCAAATAGATTCTTTCTAAAAATAATTTTGTAAACTTTGGATAGCTGATGTTGATTAATTGTGATTTATCTAGCCTCTTTCACTCGAAAGATTTTTGACAAATAGTTACTATTTATGGCTTGTGTTTAGAACTAAACAATCGATGTAAAACTTTGAAAAATGTATAAGTTTTAACTTGTATTATTTATTTGAACCTTCATCAATTCGAAAAATGCGTGATCATAGTAGAAGTCAATTAGGACAGGTCTATATCGGAGGTTATATTTGGGACGATGGATATTCACAAGGGTTTGGATCCGTATGCTAGTGCGTCCAATTTAAGTTTGGTGATGACATACTTAATCCGACAGTAAATTCAAATTTAAATAAAAGTGTCGGAAAAATATTACATATTCATCAGTCATTATTTTTTAGTTCTAATGGAACAGAAGGATCTTCGGTAAATCCAAATGGTCTGTAGTGTATAGAGTAAATATATAACGCTGAATAACTATATAACATCTAATAAATATCATTAAAACTTCAATTTGAAACATACGTTTTATTTATATTATTTTATCTATTTGGTAATAGCTATTGCAAGACGGCTACTCATTTGCAATTAGAATTCAAAGTGTAATTAAATGCAGATTCATAGTAGATTTATTGCTAGCTACAACCTAGTTTCAGATATCATAAATCGATTTTATCGCCAGGCTGTCCATTGTGTGGGTAGGCGCGTGAATATTAGGTGAAAAAATGAAAATCAAGTGATCAATGATTCAGATAGTGATTACTATATTTGGAAATACACTCTTTCTGATTGCGTAAAAATTGTTGAGTAACACAGAAAATCACCTGATCCAAAATTAATCTAAAAATATTACTAACTTACGAAAAATTAATTTTTACTCAAGATGTAACTAACTAATTGGCAAAAGCAATACATATTTTAAAATTCGTGCATTCTCTAGTAAAACAAAAATTTTATTTTGAGTCGTTACCTTTGAGAAATAAGATGAACATTTCTGCAATGAATTTTTCAAACCACTCTGTTATAGCAAAATGGATGCGCACCAATCTAAGTCTACTCACACTTTACCTACAAGTCCTTCTATATGACCTATATCGGCACAAATAGAAATCAACATATGAAACTGCGTTGAATGATGTATAATAAAAAATTTTCTTGAAGGTGATCTTCTGAGTAACAGAAATTACATGTTCATCTCCTATCTGAAAAATGCAATTTTTTATCTTGATGTCCTTTAAAATAAAAAGAAACATGGCCTACTCGTTCTTGTGCTTCGACATCACCACTTGATAAAAATAAAGACATTTTATCAATCGTTAATGAAAGAAGTTGTTGAATTAATGTTTCATCATTATTCGATGATTGAATTAAATATATAATAATTTTCAAAATATTTTGATAGTAAACAGATTGAATATGTCCAGTAAATAGAGTTATTTTTGTATTAAGCATTGATTCAAGAATTTTTTATGGTTCTTTTAAATAACTATAGAGAAAAGTAAAACAAGAATTCTTTCAATAAATTTTTTTCCCGTTATTAACTTACGAACAAAATTCACCACAAATCCATGCAGCAGCATATAAAACTTCGGGGACAGTTGTAGAATTTGAACCATGAATAAAACATGAGCATTTTCAAGAATTACCTAAAAATAGAAATAAAAATTTTTTTTGTGATTTTATTTTTGACAAATTTCTATCATTTGATTACAAGCAAATGAACGAATAGATTCAACACGAACAGCAACATCAAGCATTTGTAAAGATATGAGATTATCATGTTTTGTACCTTCAAGACGAGTTAATTCGACCAATATACTAATATACCTATTTTAATATATAATGTTTTTTTTTATTAATAAAAATTAAAAAAATAAATGTAAACCAATGCAAAATTAGTTATATGTTGATAATCATTTTGACTATATATTTCAATTATTTTTGAAAGTAATTCATTTCAATAATGTGAACTTTCAGATTTATCCATATGAACCATTAATTTATGTACGATATCCATTAGAGTTTTTCTTGTTACCTGAACAAAAAAAAAAGAATTCATAATCAAAATTAAATTTATTCAAATATTGAATGATCAGATTTTTTTTTATTAATAACTTTTCTCCATCGAATTATCATACCATCTCAAACAAAAGCTCAATTAATTAAAGAGATCAGTTATTCATGTTTCACTCTACTTGTTTAAAAGAATTTCGAGAATTGATCTAACCAGGCTAATGATTTCTGCAGGAAAATGGTAAGAACTTGGAAGAATGAATCCGATCGCCGGATTCCTTCTTCCAAGTTCCTACCGTTTTCTCGAGCTTTTTGGCCGGAAACAGTCCGTACTTCTAGACCTAAGTTGAAATTACTAGATTTTTTTAAATGTTTCATCGATAAATAATTTTTTGTGGTTTAAAAACCGATAAAAAATATAGTAAAATGATTACGAATGATAATCATAGACTAATAAACATAAATCATATTAATCTTTGTTTTTAAGACACATCTAAATAATACAAAGAATTTACAAAAAAATTAAATTGACTAAAACTACAATAGTCATTGGAAATAAATAAGAGTTTGTAACGATCATTGTTTCATATCAATTCATAACACTTTTTATATAGGAAAGCTGTCCTAAAGCACAATTTCTATGTAACCAAATAAGAGCTGATGCTGACTGGAAAATTGTAAGCACTTGGAAGCAGAAATTCAGCGGCTGGCTCTGCCCGATTATGACCTGTTCTGATCGAAACTAGGAAAGTCCGACTATAGGATTCCTATTGTTTTCCCAAGTTTTCTGACCAAAAATCTATGGATCCAGGAGCTGACATCATTGATCTGGGAGATCGAGTAGATGAACATTATATAACCATCAGATAGAGATCTACCTTTCGTTGGCATAGTCTGTCTGTCACGAACTGTGTACTTTCTATCAACGTGACATTACTATGCAAAACATCTATTGACCTCATACAGAAGGTCACTGTCTGGCAAAGACAAAAAATAAAATATTAACATAATAATAAGAATGTTTTCAATGTATTTAACGAACTAATTAAAGAAGACATCAAAATCTGTTCTCTAATATGAATGTAAATCAAAAACAATTTCTAGCTCCTGACGTATGAAAATATTTGCAATTTCAAAGATATTTTTCTAAGCAATTATAATAACAGTATGATGCTAAAATATCCGTAGCTTCTCAAAAGAGATACTTTTTAAATAAGCATTTAGCTATTTAAGTTTTTCATAGCTGTTTATAAGTGCTTGCTTAGCTATTTAAGTCTTTCATAGCTATTTAAGTATTTGCGTAGCTATTTAAGTACTTGCATAGCTATTTAAGTTTTTCATAGCTATTTAAGTATTCGCATAGCTATTTAATTTCTTCATAGCTATTTAAGTCCTTGCATAGCTATTTAAGGTTTCCACAGTTATTTAACTAGTTGCATAGCTATTTAAGTATTTAGATAGCTATTGAAATCATACATAGCTGTGTATAGTAGACTCAACAAGATTCATTTGACCGATGACTAATGATGCCAAAGTTCGATTTTGAGAACTTTCTGGTACATAATTAGTCATTGGCGTTTATGTAACACTACTTGGCCGTCAGTGAACAACAGTTATATTTATAGAATCTTCTCAATATTGTATTCATCGAATAGTATACATAAGATATCCTACAACATAACACAAAACTGTAACAAAAAATAATTCCTGCTATATATATATATAAGAATCAAATCCGCGAAATGTACTCATAATAAATAATGGGATCTTATTCTAATAGATATTATTGTAATAAAAATCATATTCAATATCTTTAACTAATGCAGTAGCTGCAGAATCTCTTTCTCAAAACCCTCGACATACACAGATGAGTACGATCAATTTCGACAAGTTATCAACCTTTCTAAAATACTGCTGTATATCTACGAGTACTGCAGCTGAAAAAAGTTGAAGCGCCACATGCAACTATCCTAATGTTTGTTTTTCCCCTCAACCCCTGCTCGTACAGATAAGTAACATAGACAAAATCCTTCATGCTCAGTTCAACGGCAATAACAACTTATTTACTACTACTGCTAATCATTAAATACTACTTCAATTTCAATAACTACCTATGCGGATATTTAAAAAACTCGAATCTTAAATAGACACAACAGAACCATTCGAATAGCTATACCACAATTTAAGTAGCCATGTCAACAGTTAAATAGTTCTGAAAAAATTGAATACTTATGCATGTACTTAAATACCGATGTAAATACTTAAACACCTATGGAAAACTTAAATAGCGATCCAGATACTTAAATAGCTATGGAAATACTTAGATAGCTATGGAAATGCGTAAATAGCCATGGAAAACTTGAATAGCTATGAAAAGCTTAAATAGCTATGGGAAACTTAAATAGCTATGCAAATACTTAAATAGCTATGAAAGAGTTAAATAGCTACGTAAATACTTAAATAGCTATGAGAAACTTAAATAGCTATGCAAATAGTTAAATAGCTACGCAAATACTTAAATAGCTGTAACTGCATTAGAAAGCTGGAAAGTTTTCACAGTCACTTGTGTTAGACAAAAATTGTAGTATTAGATTAAATTTCGATTGTTGATAGATGATGAATAATACTTCCTTGATGACAGAAGCACAAAAGAGTGCAGTAAGTGGTGTTTGTTCAGCTGGTTTGAGAATAACTACATTGCCTATTTGTTATTACAATATATAAGAAAATGTAAATTAATAGAAGTAATGAAAACACCACAAACTAATGCTGATCCAAGTTTCAAGGCCAACATAACAGTCTAAAATATAATGGCAACAATACTTTTGTATGATACATATGTAAGATAGAATATCGTACTGAATAATCACTGAAAGAAGAAAGTACAATTTGAATTTTCATTTATTGAATGTTTGAACTGACCATAAAATGATTTGTTCATAGATCCCAACTGATTCATGTTTAATATAGGTAATAAAAATACCTGATTCTGATGAAAGTGTTTCACCAGTGATTTTATCAGCCCATCCAGCATCTGTAACATGTGAATATCATCGACAATAAAAAAAAGAGAATGTCAAAAAGACTTACAATAATCAAGACAAATAGCTGCTCCAAGAATCTCGCAATAACTCTCTTGTGGCAATTTTTCACTACTCAGTGTTTCTAATTTCTGAATATTCATTTATGATGTAGATGCAAACAAACAGAGTGAACATTTTTACTGCTAAATAACCCACAACATGTAGAAGTAAATCAGCAAGTTTACAAATTAACTGAGCACGTGCAGCAGGATCTAACTTACGCTATGGTGAATCATATTGGAAACCTTTTTCAGCAGTTTCAATTGTTTTATCAAGATCACTCTACAGTATTGGAAACAATAAAAATTACACGTAGAACGAAAATCATCATGTATATATGTATATATTGATACTTTTGTGCCTTCTTCCACTTGGCAAATTTCTTCGTCTGTACTTGGATTAATGATAGAGAACAGATTCATCTTTGTCTACATGATTGACCTTGATTTATTACATAAGAAGAAAAGAAAGAATGGTCATATATTAGCTCGTTCCTTTGTCCACTTATATTCATTGCTGTTTCAGTTGCAGATGATGTCTTCAATCTTAATGAATGGTTCAACTTATGAAACCAATTTGGTTAAAAGAATACAAAAATTTGATACGGTAGCACACCTGAGTATTGTAACAAGTCTTCGTGTCAATGTAGTATTTTTTAAAACTTGTCTTATCGATTGGACTTTGCGACAAGCGAAGAACAATTTTTCTAATAATATATGTATTTGATATTGCACTTCACTATAGAAGTATTTTACTAACAGGCGCAAATCAGATCGTTCTTAGTATATGCAAAACCATATTCTTTTGATGTGATTCTATTACTAAAGATCTTATCAATTCGTTTAATGTGAAACACTCAATATATGAAGGAAGACTTCCAGAACAAAATTGTCACGATGGAAGGAAGGAATTTTTAGAATGGAGAAGATTTCAAGCAAATAGAACTAGTTTTCATAACTGTACGCTGGATTTCGAAAGCGTTGTCAATAACAGGCTAAAGCATTCTCTTCACCAATATCATATATCTACTTATGTGATTTCAGTTAACAAATTAATATTTTTTACAAGAATAATATTGTTACTGTTCAAAACTGATGTCACTTAGATGATAGAGAACAGGAACAATCAAAAAATTTATTATATATAAAAACTTCTTTAAATTCACTATATATATAATCAATAAGTAATGTTTTACGATAGCAGAAAAGAATCGATCATATTTTTCCTTCTTCAATAATCAATTTGTTTCTTTGTATTGTATTTTGTTTAAAGTCTTTTAAACAATAAAATTTTAAATGTTATTAATTATGTGTCTTAAATTGAAACCAGATTATGATTATTCATATGAGTTATTACCGTAATTGGGAGTTGTTTCAACTGATTGC